AAGCTGCCTCACCGAGGGGCACATACCAAGTCCATCGGTAGAGTGACGTCATGCCGAACGCGGAGATGAAGAGCAACATATGGCCACTTCAGACCGGTAGCCGTTGTCGAAGGCATGCCACGAGGTTCAATACCTAATCGGGAAAGACCGGCTACGTCGGTGTGGCTTGGAGCGATGCGCGCGCTTGGCCGAGCGGCGTCAAGTGGCCCTATTGTTCGCCGAATGCGGAAGATGTTCCGAGATCTACGCACGAGGCATCGGGACGACCGTGCCGAGCTTCGAGTAAGCGTCGCGCACCGTCGAAGGTGTCGAAGAGCGTCGAAGGTGAAATCGAAGTGGTGGGAGACTGAGTCGAAGTGCCGGGCGGGATGCGACTGCCGAAAAGAGGTGAATCGGGGCCCAGAGGGGCTTGGCGCCTATCATCTCCTCCCTATTGAAATTTGGACCGCCCTCGGTCCTCGTGTGCACTGGTCCGTGCGCAGCTGGTCCATGCACAGCATGCTAACGCAGCCCCGGGGGCCGGTGAGTCAGAGCAGCTGTGTCAGCGGAGCCCCGGGGGCCGGTGAGTCAGAGCGGCTGTGTCAGCGGAGCCCGAGCTGTGCCGTGCACTGCCGCCCCATCTAATCTAATCGTACAGTAGATAACGACTTTGTCCGTTCGAGCGTGTAGTACAGAGGTCGCGGGATCGAGCCCGAAAAAAGGAAAAATTAAAAACGGCTAGATGCCATGCCAACTCATGACATTACCCCCCCCTCAACGGCGCATGACCTCATGCGAGATGCCTTTGCCCATCTCCCACCCGGAGCAGCAGCGTGCTTCAGTCAGCGGCGAAGGCATTGGCTGGAAGTTGAGACCACTAAAGATAGCAGCATTGAGGCGGCGAGGGGCATTCGGATTCTTCCGGTGGAAGTCGGCTATGAGGGCCGGCGCATTGGCAACGTTGCGCGCCGGTTCCCATGACGTATGCAAATCGTCATAACCCTTCCACTTGACGAGGTACTGTAGCTGACGCCGGAAGATCCGCGAATCCTTGATCCGCTCAACCTCGTACTCCTCGTCGCCCTCAACCTCGGTTGCAGGCGGCTCCTCCGGCTCCCGGCCCGGGATGTTGCTACGCGTGTACTTGCTAAGCAAGGAGACATGGAATACCGGGTGCACCGGCACGGACTTTGGCAGAACCAATTTGTAATCCAAGTCTCCGAGCTTTTGCCGCATGGCATAAGGTTCGAGGCACTTGGGACTGAGCTTCTTGCTCGGCTGTTTCAGCTTAAGGTTCCGAGCGTCAAGCCAGACCTTGTCCCCCGGCACGAAGACCGGTGCCTCCTGCATGTGCTTATCGTAGTACACCTTCATGCGCTCGGCTGACAGCTCAAGCGCGGAGCGCATATCGTCCCTGATCTCCTTCAAGATCTTGAGCCGATCAGCGGCCGCAGGCATCGCAGACATTGGATTGATCTGCACTTGGATCTCAGGATTGTACCCTTGATGCAGGTAGAAAGGGGAGTGCCCGGTTGCGGAGTGAACCCGATTGTTGAGTGCAAACTCTGCGAGTGGCAACTGCTTCGCCCAATCATCCTGCCTGTGGCTTGTGAAACCGCGCAGGTACTGCTCAATTTCCTGATTCCAGCGCTCGGTCTGGCCATCCGTCTGAGGATGGAACACTGTGGACAGCGCCGGCTCGATCCCAAGTCCTTTGTACACCACATGGAGATATTTTGAAGCAAATTGGGGACCTCGGTCTGATATGACCTTGGCCGGGGCCCCATGATGTTTGAACACATCGCGGATGTACAGATCTGCCGCACCTTCTACTGTCAGGGTCTCATGACAGGCCGAGAAGTGGACCTGCTTGGTGAAGCGGTCGGCGGTAACCAGGATCGAGTCAAATCCATCAGACTTCGGCAAGCCGACGATCATATCCGTGGTGATGATCTGCCATGGGCACTCAGGGATCTCATTCGGCTTCAGCGGACCTTGGGGCTTAGCGGGAAATGTCTTGGTACGGTCGCACACGTCACAGGTGCTTACGTACTCATTGACGAATTTGGACATTCCTGGCCACCAGTAGTTCCGTGATACGAGCTCCAGGGTTTTGGCACGACTGCCATGACCGGCGATGGGCGAGTCGTGGTGGATCTTGACTATATCCCGCCGGAGCTCTGCGTTCTTTGGGACATATACACATCTGTGGAACAGCAGGAGCCCTTGTTCGGCATTCCACTCTTCTAAACCTCTTTGTAGCTGGGGCGGCCCGAGATCCTGCACTTTTTTGAGTGCCTTGGCCACCTCCCGATCCTTCTCTGAACATTCCCTGATCCGTTTCAGAAGTGACTGATCAGCCATCACCGAGGCATGACCGCGCCTGGCGGAGGCGATGCGGAATCTTTCCGGTCGGAGGACCACCTGATCGGTGTTATCGCCCTCATCGCTGACCTGATGGTCTGATCGGCGCAACAGGGCATCAGCCTTTCCATTTGACGTTCCGGCCTTGTGTGTGATGCGGAAGTCCAAGCGAGCCAGGAATAGCGACCATCGTGCTTGACGACGCGTGAGGTGCTGGGACGTGCGCCAGTACTCGAGGTTCTTATGATCGGTCACGATCTCGAACTGATTGGGTAACCCCTCGAGGTAATGGCGCCATTCTTCCAAGGCTTCGATGATTGCGAGCATCTCCTTATCGTAGATCTCGTAATTCCGCTGTGCCGGATCCATTGCATGGGATCGGAAGGCAATAGGGTGCCATTTGCCGTTGTCCTGCTTCTGCGTCAATACGCCGCCAGTGGCGTACCCCGAGGCGTCGACATCAATGCGCATTTCCCGATTAGGGTCATACAGCGCTAAGACTGGAGTCGTCGCAAAGAGCCGCTTGAGCTCATCGAAGGCATGTTGTTCCTCTTCGCCCCAATGCCATGGGTCGTTCCCTGTGAGCCGGTCGAGTGGTCGCGAGATTTTGGCAAAGTCTTTAATGAAGCGGCGGTAAAAGTTGGAGAACCCCCGGAACTTCTGGACGTCTTTCTTGTTCCGGGGTACCGGCCACTCATTAATTCCTTTGAGCTTCGCGGGATCCATTGCCACCTCATCACCACTGAACACATAGCCGACGTAGTCGACCTTGGGAACGTCCCACTTGCACTTCTCAGGCTTCAGGAACAGATCATTATCCTGAAGGTGGCGTAGAACCTCGCGTGTGACCTTCTCATGCTCCTCTTTGCTGGTGGAGAATATGAGTATATCGTCTAGGTACACGAGGATCTTGCCGCCGACGATGAGATCGTGGAAGATCTCGTTCATCATTGCCTGGAAGGTTGCAGGGGAATTAGTGAGACCGAAGAACATCACCAAGGGCTCATACAACCCTCGGTTAGTCACAAAGACCACCTTCCATTCGTCACCGGCTTTGATCCAGACGTTGTTGTATCCCCATCGGACATCAAACTTCGTAAAGAGCGTAGCACCGCGGAGTTTATCCACCATTTCGGCGATCAACGGCAAGGGATAATGATTTTTGACCGTGATCGCGTTCAATTGGCGGTAGTCCTGCACGGGTCGAAGCGTCCCTTCCTTCTTTTTGATGAAGAAGAAGGGGGACGAAATGGGTGACTTCGATTCCCGTATGTAGCCCTTCGCTAACTGCTCCTTTAGGAACTTGTCCAGTTCCTCCTGCTCGTTGCTCGACAATGGGTATACCTTCGAATGGAATGTCGAATAGCCGGGCACGAGTTCGATTGCGTGATAATACGGCTTCCTTTTGGGTAACCGTTCTGATGCTTCTTTGGAGAAGACATTCAGGAACTCGTGGTACTGTTTAGGTACCGACTCCTCGGCGGTCTTAACGACCTTCTTCTTGATCTCTTCCTCAGCGAACAGCTGGGAGTACGTATGCCCTGCTGCGACGAACAGCTGAGGAGCGCCAGGAAGCGTGATACCTTGCTCCCAGGCTTCGATCAAATCAGCCTCATCCCACTCTACTTCCATCGGATCTTCTTTGGATTCAAAGTCCGGGAGTACCTTACTCCGGCAGGTGCCTATAACCGACCGTTTGGACTTCGGCGAGCGCCTGCGCGCCATGGGCCTGACCCCCGTATCACGCACAGTCGCTGCTTGCTCCATTCGGCCAGTCCTCCTGGCACTGCACGTTTCAGGGCATCGCGACAATTTGAGGGAGCCTTTCTCCCAATCGATCTCGGGGTTGTGCTCGCGTAGCCAATCCAACCCAACGATCACATCTTCTGGACCAATGTCCGTGACCGTAAACACCGTCTTCTCGATGTGTTCTCCTATCTGCATCTGTAGCACTGCTACTTCTGAGATGCTTCCGTCTTTGTTCAGGGTGCCGTCGATATTGTATAGTGGAATCGGCTCCTTCAATTTCCGCGTCTGCACCTTATTTTCTGTAATAAATCGCTTGTTGATGAATTTCGTGGTGGCTCCGCTGTCCACCATAGCGATTATGTCTTTGTGCCATCTTTTTCCTTGGAGGCGCACCGGGATGTGGAAATGCTGGGACCCGTGGTCCAACTCGTACACATTCGCAGTCGCCAATACATTGTACAGATTATTATTACGCGGCCCAACACATGCGGCACGAAGCGCGGACCAGATCAAAAAGACTCTTCTTTGAGTGCTTGATAGTGCTCCAACTCCTCGCGCATCGACTTCATCTGTGCTATTAAGTCCGCTAGCTCGGAACTTTCCGATTTCGCTGAAGTGGCGCTTATACTCGCTGAGGATGAAGCGACGGGGGCGCTTGTCGCTGCCTGGGTAGAGCCCGAGGCAACCGTAGCCCGCGCGTCGGCGCATTTTGTGTAAGGCTTGTCCTTACAGTTGGGGCACTCGAATCGTCGGTATCCTTGCTTCCCACAGCCGTAACAACTGCTGGGGAAGTTTCCTTTTCCGATGGCCGCATTGATGCTGGCTGAAGCTGCATGTGACTGGGGTGCACCACCACGTGCCCCACCGCGTCCTTGACCTCGGGTCGAGAAGAAGTTATTTAGTTTGGGCCGACGGGCCCGGCTGATGTCGAGAATCTGCTCGACCTCAGTGGCGCGCTTCTCAGCTGCTTGCCACGTGGTGAAGGTCTCGAGCTCGATCTTTCAGTACACGCGGGAGGGGATGCCGCTCAGGTACTTGTCGCGTAGCTCCAGGTCTCCATACCCAGAGCGATCTGCCGGACCCTTGAACAGTGCGGAGAACTCCGCCGCGGTGCGTTTTTCACGGACCGACTTGTCCGCGCAGAGCTTCGCCAGCTCTACTTGTGCTGCCGCCTCGTCGTCAAGATTTCCGAAGCGGGCCCTGAAGGCGGCGGCAAAGGCCGCTTCGTTCGCGAATGGGGTCATGGCCCCTTGCACACCTATCTGCACCGATACGAGCTGGGCGAAATAGGGAGTGGCCCAGGCACGGGCATCGCCATCGAGCAGGCTCAACGCGACCTGCACTTTTAGCTCGATGGTGGTCAACAACGTGTTGACCAGCCAATAGATGCGCAGCTGCAATAGGAACCTGTCGCACTCGATGACGGTTTTGCCGTCATATCGGAGGAAGAGAAGGAGCTTCAGGGTATCCTTGTTGGGGGCGGTCGTAGGGGAAGACATTACCGGCGTCGGGGGGGGGGGCAGAGGCGGCTGTGGTGGCCCTTCATTGGTCGAACTTCGAGAGGAGCGAGTGCTTGAGCGGCCTCTCAGCGGAGACGGTGGTGAAGGTGCTAGAGGAAGCCCGGAGGAGGGGTTAGGTACGTCAGGAACTGCTGACGTGGAGGCGAGCACTGTCGGCGAGGTGGGCCGAGCAGGATCCGCGGACTCGGACTCCGAGACTCCTTCTTCACTCGCACTCTCCTCAGGCTCAGGCTCTGGCGCAAGGTCTGGAGGGAGATCTCCTCACGCTTGACTTGGATCGGCGACGACAGTTTGAGGAAGTCGGGAGCTGGGGGAGACAGGGCGAGAATGCCGTGAAGCGGATCGAGACGCGAGGGTGCTGCGGGGACCGAGTGGGTGTTGAGCCCGTCTGATTGCCTTGTAGCGAGGGTAATCCTCCTCGATCGATCGGGGTGTCCGATTTGGGCACGGCTGCTGCTCGCAACGGTAGAGGACAGTCTCAGGGCCGTCTGGGATGTAGATGTCGATGAGATCCTGGGAGTCGAATGCGTGGATCTGGCCTTGGCAGGCAGCCACGATGGATGGGGATAGGATGGGGAGGTGCGCGTACTACAATGGCCGTGCTATACTAGCTTACGCTATGGCGCCCGAGAAGACACTAGGGTTCGCAGTTCACGTGGGGCCCAGTACTGCTTTTGACTATTATGCAGCAGGAACCAAGGCTATGCATCCATGAGGACAAGTACTGCCCACTAAAGTGCAGGTACTGAAGAGTTCGTTTCTCAAGTGGTGGCGATGTATCGTAGGCTATCTAAGTATAGTAGGGGTGCGCACCACCCGACCTGTGGGAAATGAATGTGAGTTTGGGAGTTCCGAGGAATGCCGGCAGCTGTGAGAGTTTCGACCTAATGTCGCGACTTGAGGTCAAGCGACAGGGGAATGTCTAAAAGCGAGGGGAGTTTGACTGGTTCTCACCAAAGCAATGGTGAGTGAGGCTCAAACCTAAGGCTAGGGACAAGAAAATGTATTAGTCAGTAAGGGTAAGTAAAGGATACAAATAAAGGCTTACTGACCTAGGGACAAGAGGTCGAAACTGAGGTCCCTAGGGCAGCAGAGGCCGGCTTATATACAGGGGATGTTTAGGGGAGGCTGTGTGCACTGGTCCGTGCGCAGCTGGTCCGCGCACAGCATGCCGATGCGGCCCCGGGGGCCGGTGAGTCAGAGCGGCTGTGTCAGCGGAGCCCGAGCTGTGCCGCGCACTGCCGCCCATCTAATCTAATCGTACAGTGGATATGATGTGTCCGTATCAGGCAGGTAGTACAGAGGTCGCGGGTTCGAGCCTGCGAAAAGGAAAAAATTAAAAAACGGCTAGACGCCATACCAAGTCGTGACAGCCAGGAAGCGTGATGCCTTGCTCCCAGGCTTCAATCAGATCGGCTTCATCCCACTCGACTTCTACCAGATCTTCTTCGGGTTCCGGATCCAGCAGTACCTTACTTCGGCAGGCACCTATAACCGACCATTTGGACTTCGGCGAACACCTGCGCACCGTGGGCCTGACCCCCGTATCACGCGCAGTCGCTGCTTGCTCCATTTGGCCAGTCCCTTTGGTACTGCATGTTTCAGGGCACTGGGACAGTTTGAGGGAGCCTTCTTCCCAATTGATTTCGGGGTTGTGCTCGCGCAACCAATCCAACCCGATGATCACATCTTCTGGACTGATATCCGTGACCATGAACACTGTCTTCTCGATGTGTTCTCCTATCTGCATCTGTAGCACGGCTACCTCCGAGATGCTTCCATCTTTATTCAGGGTGCCGTCGATATTGTAGAGCGGAATGGGCTCTTTCAGCTTCCGCATCTGCACCTTATTCTCTATGATGAATCGCTTGTTGATAAACTTCGTGGTGGCTCCGCTGTCTGCCATAGCGATTATGTCCTTGTGCCGTCATTTTCCTTGAAGTCAAGCTGGGATGTGAAAATGCTGGGACCCCTGGTCCAACTCATACACCATTGCAGTCGACAATACATCATAGCGATTACGAGATACAACCGGCCCGCTGATACGACCTACGAAACCCTAACCCCTAACCTGGGTGCGACCTAAAGGGACTAGAGAGACGGATCATAGTCTAATGAGAGGGGAGTTAGCAGCAAGGTGTCCCGCGGTTCGAGTGAACACGAGAAACGCCTTCGGAAAAAGGCTACGAACGCTAGGGAAGCTACAAGGTGGCTTTGACACGTCGTCGAAGCTACTCGGAGGCTGCAGGTGGTTAGCAGAGACGATCAAAGCTCAGCAGAGCTCTTCGATGTATCGTAGAAGGAAGGGGCACGATTCAATAGGGTGTACTTAGCTAGGGCGCGGTCGCAGTTTCTTTGACAATAGTCGAAGTCGAAGGGTTCGTCGAGACAGTATCGACGAGTAAACGCAGTGGACGAGGTTTTGAGGTTACGCAGCGAGGGACGAAGTGACGCAGTTGAAGGCTTAGACGCGGGGCGAACTCAACTTATGATCTCTGAACTCGAGGGGGGAACCAGATCTTGTATTTTTAGAGAGAAGTACGACAGATTTTATACTACACAGGACACTACAACTAT